GAATTATGTGTCAGCGATAATTCTGTCAAATACAGATCCTGATATGAAATGAAAACATACATATATACAGGTGAAGCTAATATAAAGCGTTTAAAAATTGAAGTATTAACACGAGATGAAAATTAAAAATCATTAACAAGAAATGAAAAATTAAAAGATTCTAAGCCAAGTTACTTCACGACGTTTCGGTTGTTAGTATCCCAGAATTTGAAAGCGTAGTGAACGAAATATTGTGATTATTGAGTGCGATTGAAGTATCAAGTTCATTCAACATAGTTTTTATGATAAGACAAAATTATTGGATTTGATTTAGCACACCACCTATTTATCCGTTCCTTCAAGTCAGTAAAATATCAGTTCGTAAAAATTTCTTTCTAGATTCACGGGTTTGGAAAAAAAATGTGTCAATCTTGGTTCGTTCAACTACTTGGGATTCGCCGAACAATCAGGTCCTCATCTGGAGGCAGCGATCGCATCAATATATAAATACGGCATCAGCACTGGGAACCCCCGACAACGGTATGGCTCTTGCGAACTCCACAACCAATTGGAACAGATGACAGCAGAGTTTTTGGGAGTCGAAGATGTCATTACGTTTGGCATGGGATTCGCTACTAATTCTCTCAACATTCCTACCCTTCTTTCGCCAGGCTGCTTGGTTCTCAGCGACGAAAAAAATCACAATAGCATTATTCTTGGTATGAGGTTGGGAGGCGCCACCATCAGAGTATTCAAACACAACAGTAAGCATAAAAGCTGATTTCCGGGATTATTGGCCGGGGGGTGCAGACTTTTATTCCTGAGGTGTCGTCTGCTACTGCGGTAGACATTATCAAAGACTATGAGGCAACGGACTAAGTGTTCTGGTTACCCTCACAGCACGTACTATTAGCTGTAGTATATGCTGTGAGGACAATTAGATACAACAAACCTTGGCAACAGCTTTAATACAGTAACTACATAATCATGACGAATGCAAAACGATGAATATACACAAGAGTTTCAGAAAGTTTTGAGTTAGAGAATCGATTTTTTTCTGTTCATGACCTGTGTTCATGCAAACCCAATATTTGGGCACTATCTTAGAAAAAGAGCATCAATATAATGATATTTGAAGACTCAAAAATTCAATTTGAACAATAATACATCGATATCACTCTACAATTATTTCACTGGCTTCACTTTGCTTGCCATCACTGCCTTAAGTCTGCAAAACTGATCTGATTTCTGCAACAGAGTTTCTGAAACCTTCGTCTTCTCTAGATCATCGATGACTTGCCGCGACTAAAAAAATTCAATTTGAACAATAATACATCGATATCACTCTACAATTATTTCACTTGCTACACTTTACTTGCCATCACTGCCTTGAGTCTACAAAACTGATCTGATTTTTGCAGCAGAGTTTTTGAAACCTTAGTGTCCTCTAGATTATCAATGACTAGCCGGGATTCAAAAAAATTCAATTTGAACAATAATACATTGATATCACTTTACAATTATTTCATTTGCTTTACTTTACTTGCCATCACTGCCTTGGCTCTACAAAACTGATCTGATTCTGAAACCTTGGACTCCTCTAGACTATCGACGACTTGCCGCCATACACGGACAATAGCAGAGGAGCCCACAATGCAAAATGAGGATTTACTCGAGCGTCAATGAGACATATTAGGTTGCAAAGCTTAGGTGATAAGAAGAAAAAATGTTAAATAATATATACCTCTTCAACGGTGGGGGATTTTTAAATATGTAAAAAAATACTGTTGCATGGACATACTCGAGCACGTCAGATATTGATAGCATCAATGTCCTACGTATTTTTAATAATGTTGGTATGTTAATCTGATCGGTTGCATGATGTGGGTGGTTGTACGTAAGGGTTAAAAGTGAAAAGGAAAAAAATTCAATCGAGCGCGTCAGATTTTC